CCATTAATTTATTCCGTTTACATTCAATCAACAAACATAATCGCAACAATTCCATTTTTTAACAAGTTTCGCCAGCATAATTGCACCCGTAATTTAAAAATTCCAATTACATTCCGCAAATTCCACACATTCCATTAATTTATTCCGTTTACATCCAATCAACAAACATAATCGCAACAATTCCATTTTTTAACAAGTTTCACTTACATTCCGCTAATTCCACAATTTATCAATTACAGTCAAACTATTACCATTTTTACCTTTGCTTGTACAGATCCGAAGTGGAACTGCAACCCTAGCATCGAATTAATTCTTTCAACGGAAACAATCGACATACAGAACATCGAACCCCAACCATAAAAAATTCAAAATACCGAAAAACAAAAAGCCAGTTCGAAAATTCATTGAATGAGAAAGAACCTGAATACACCAACAATTCGAGTTGGGACCTCCTCGCCTTGAGTTCCGCCCGGAATTCAAGTTGGACCTCTTCGAGACTCTTCGGGTTCGGTTCCGCCCAGAATTCCAGTTCAGCTTCAACGAAGTCCAATTGACATTTTCTTCGACTAGGGCTTCGGAGTTTTCATGAAACTCCATAAACGTCCAATGTTAACGGCGTCAAATGTGACAAACCCAACATGAGTACAATTGGCAAATCAAGTAAAACACGTCATCGAAATGAGGCCACATCACCCATCCACCAAGTGACTTATAATAGGTGAAAAGTCGGCTATACCCCTGTGAGTAACATAACCTGTTACTCACTGTGAGTAATGGGGGCGCACTCAAATAGATCTCAATTCAACTATCTACTTTAACATGTGGACAGATGTTGCAGACTTCAATGTAGTTGAAACCAAAACACTCCGAGATGAGTTGTGCGGTTCACAACTAGTTGAAGCTAGCAACATGCCTCCTTTAAGGGTGATGCGTGTTCCTAGTGGCCAGTATCGACCGGCGTATACACTGTTTTTGCCGGACCTCGACTTGTACATGCATAAAGGAGTTGGTGTTTTTATCATATGGTTATGTTTGCAGCAAAGCCCCTTATCACCACATATAATTCCGAAACAATTTCAATCAATATTTGATTTGAGGTACATCCTTAACCCAGATCATATCCCAACATACACATTAGTAAGAGATGTAAGGGAACTTTTCATCGGGGCAACCAAGAGCGGTGTACATGTTATGAAGGTTGGCTCCTGTGTCTCCCAAATTTCAATAGATGTACGTTCCTACATCACAGAAATAGGAAAGACCGGATACTTTTGAGTGTCGATAAGTTCAGAGGGAGCTAAGTTCAGCCACCAAAATGTATTCTAGAGAGGCAGATCTGTTCTTATCTGGAATGCTCGAAGCGTCCACAGGTTTAGTTTCAAACAAAATTTCGAATTGTTAGTAACTAAATTCTCACCATTTGTTATTCTTTTAACAGAAGCGAGATCAACCAAACTGATGATGAATTTTATTAAAAATGAGGTTAGTGGGGGTTACAGTGTAGAAGTAGTAGGGCCAGGCACCGGAATGGGTGGAGTGTTATTGCTATGGGAGTGCTTTCGTCGCCCTACTTCTCCTGGAGGGAAAGCACTTTATATGGGCATATACTGTCAGCGATTATCATAGTAAGTACTTTACCAACACATCTATGTTTATATGAACCACAGTGAACTTCAATGATATATCGGTCCAGGAATAAAAACATATAAAAAGAATATCTGAATGCCAATGCAATTTCATGTTTAAATATGTAATGCTTATGTGTGTTAAGACTTAAGAGTTACAAAGGAGTTGATATTTTTTTGCTCAATAAATTGTTTTTTGCTCAATAATATGTTAGGAATATCATATGTTCTTATTGTAATTACTTCTTGTGTGTGAGGAAAAACATATAACTTCAATTTTTCTTTTGAAATTGTGATATTGAAGTTACTAATACTTCGAATGATTTCCCTTACAATAACAACCAGTTAAGAGGTTAATAGACATTGGACCTTCTAATATAGCTGCGCGGGAACATTACTTCGACGATTCAGCTAGCGATGATGACGACAAGAACAACGACATAAATAAATAATTGAATTCAGTCTAATAAGATTTGTCATGGACAACTTCTGTCAAACACCGACCTCGATTAATGAATGGAGTTGTTATTTGATTAAAACATTTGTGTTTTTGTATTGTATTGGTATTAAGTACCAGTTAAAAGTATTTTCTTCATGTATTGACTGGTATTAAGTATAGTCGGTCGTTATTCTACCTGTATTGTCTGTTACCGAGTACGCTCATATCAACTAGCAACCTTTTAAACCTAATCAATAATCATGTATAATTGTACTAATTGTTGCTTATGGGTGTCTTTTAAACATTTTTAAAATAACAAGCGGTTAGGAAGGTGTATGTGTTAAAGTAGTCATGATTATGGAAGCACATTAGTACTAGGCGGCTAGGCCCATGTTATTCTAAAGATATTATTATTGTTAATGCTATATGGCGCCAAAAACATTTTCATATAATTTTAATGTCTTATAAATTCAGTCAAACATCAGGGCGCCAAATCCAGGGTTACTCTCGCCAAGAACCGACCTATATATATGTTAGCTTGTAGAAACTGGTAAATGCATGAATCGAAAAGTATGAAAAACAACACTGAAAATATTAAGAACTATGAAGGACACTTGCATCCAGGGGCGGACCTATTCATGTGTCTGGTGGTGCACGTGACTCACCAGTTAAAAAAAAAAAATAATGTTGAATCAAAGAGACCCGTTAGTATAAATAACAGGTCTCTTTGATGTAAAAATATCAAAAGAACTTTGACTCTGTCACCTATCACTCTCTCAACGTTTTTTTTTTGTTAAATATCAAAGAGACCAGTTATTAAGATAACGGGTCTCTTTGGTGTTGCTGCGTATTGTGCTGCTTTCTTTAATAATTAAAGAGATCGGTTATATTTAATAACCGGTCTCTTAAGTTATCTCACTTATTATTATTATTATTATTATTATTATTATTATTATTATTATTATTATTATTTTATTATTATTATTATTATTATTATTATTATTATTATTATTTATTATTATTATTATTATTATTATTATTATTATTATTATTATTATTATTATTATTATTATCGTTATTATTAGTTTTAATAATTTTTGCTTCTATTTATATCCCCCAAAGCTTATCAATTAAGTAAAAAAACATAAAGTTAATGTAATAATTTTATAGTATAATTTGTTTGTAACATGTTATTTGTAATACTTTTGATTTGTAAGATTGAATTTTTAAGTACTATTTTGTTGTAATATGGATTTTTGTGTCCTATTTTTGTATTGAAATCAATTTGGTGAAATATATATATATATATATATATATATAATTTTAGAATTGAAATTAATTATAAATAAGATTTGGAAAAATTAAAATGTACTTTTACAAATGATCAATAATTGATGGTGACTCACCACCTCAAAAATCCTAGGTCCGCCACTGCTTGCATCTTCCCGCAAGCGTCATAAGAACCAGAAAACCCAAGGGATTTTGGAAAACATCACACAACATAAAAGTTTTTATTTACTACAAAGATGTGCTTCCAGAAATTCTTTTGCGAAGCACTATCCTCAGAATACAAATAAAACCACCTCGACCGGTAGGGGGGATGCAGGTACAGCCAGAGGGGTGTTGACCAAGGTAATACCGGGCACATAACGGATCTAAACATGGTTCCGGTAAGTGTGGTAGGAGCACGTACAGAAGCTGAGTGGATAGCTTAAGGACATCGTCCATCGAAAGATTTATTAGTGGTTAGCAGCAACAAGGTAGTCCCTGCACACCTTCCAGAATTATCAGACCTCGCATTGTTGCCAGCTGCTATGAAAGTAACAATTAAGTGGGTACTAGATAATGAAGGAGGTGTTAAAGGGAATGAGATCCAGCACGCAATCCCATCAAGCATTCGAAACATATTGAATCCGCGGTCTGAACTGCCAAAAGTTATTGAAATTAGTGACATAGACGTGGGAATTCATCAACTAGATATAAATAGCTACACCGACGACTTGAAGATTTTCACAACAAGAGGCGTGGGACGTTTGCACGATATGCGTGCTAGTTGTAGTTGGTTAACTACCAGTGCACTAGATGGTAGGAAACTAAACCTGCAATTCCACATAAATACAAGGGAAACTCGGCTACCACCGACCACGGTTATGATTTGGAACTGCAGGGATATGGCACGAGTTCCTTCCTTCCTCAACTGAAGCAAATGTTTTACATGCACATGCCTGACTTGATAGTGTTGACGGAAACCAGAGTGTTGACCGCCATGGCTCATTTCGTTTGCAACGACATGAAACATTATTCGTCGACGGGGTGGTCTCAATCTGAAGTGAACGGTGTAATCTTCATATTAGGTATGACAACAACAATTAAGATGGAGCTTGAGAGCCAAGATAGGACAACTAGTGTTTGGAGATTCATCCTATGCCTAAATTAATGTGACACGATTGAAACAATTATGCATCAAACCAATGTATCTTTACAATGTGAAATGCAATAATTATTTTTGTCCGAATGAAATACAAATGTTAAAATGTTTCTGATATAGTCCAGCATCATCACCGTGTTTGTAGTATCTCATGATATAGGCCCAACCCAAAACTTACTAGTTACTACAATATATCTCATGAAAACACAACCATTAAATTGGGCCACATCAGAGGTTTAAAAAAAACCAAACATAACCCAACAACATGGCCCAATACCATATGGATCGAATGCATTTCATAAACTTTGGATCAAAAACATAACTATGGAAATATGTAGTTAATATTTCGTGGCCCTATAACAGCATTCAACAATGGCAATCCCGTCAAATTAGTTAATAACTAATCACTATATTATGAATAGTAGCAATACAGTGATACAGGCAACAAATATTTATTGCTTCGTGTAAGCATCAAATCGTAAACAATTTAATCATAATACATAATTGATTAACATTAACAAACTACTCCATTTGGATAATACAATCTTCAACGATGTTCAATGGCGATACACTACTTTCATGCTACAAATACTAATTCAGTAATACCGAATACACAAACAAATAAGCATTTTGAATTAATTCTCTTACAAATTCAGTAATGCACTACACGCCTATATGAATCAGAATGTCTTACACATTGATACAAAGTAGTTAAAGATTATTATGCTCTTGTAAAATAAATATTGTATTACATGGCACGTTATGTTACAGAACTTCCTCATCCTCAGTGTTTATGTATACGACGGTATCGACAGTAGCACGATACTTTATCAACTTTTGCCGAGTTCGATTCATGACTCTAGGCTAACGAATTTGGTTTCCCTGATATAAATTGCCATCATCGCTGGATTCGCCAATCATAAAACAATCAGCAAATGGTACTTGGACCATAAGAACCAATAAACATAATCAACACTACTTTGTCTTGTAAACCAGTGTCCAAAAAATAGTAGTCAATGTTGATACATACATTACATATCATTGAGGCAGGGAGAATATCCAAACAAGAACATAGCCGTTTCTCAGCAACGCAAATACACGGGTTTGAGCTCCTAGTAAAACATGGAGCCCCACTATTTCTCGTTCTTCTGGGCTTACTAACCCATGTAGAAGGGATGAACTGACCTATCTGCAACCAGGCGCATACTAGGCTTAAACATAAAAAATGCACAATAACAAATACAGACACGCATTGAAATACAAACACATTAGTACCTATCTAGTATCAGTTCCAGGTCCCCCTAGGATGTCTCGAGCCTCCCTAGGATGCTTTTCTCCATAAGCCACATCCAACATCTACCAAACACAACAAATATAACTTACAATAGGCAATTCAAATAAAGATAATAACGCTAAGACAAGACGTGATGTATCCAGTACCCCAAGTTTTCCATAATCACCAGACGTAGAGAATCCTATCAAGCCTTGCAACAACAGTTATTTCTCTCATCGTCCAAACCTTTAACCTGGGAAAAGCCCCCATCGTAAGGGAAAAGCCCCCCATCCTAGGGGATCCCTATTGAGCCTGTCCAAATAAAACACCTACCCAACAATCATCAGATAACACAATGAGACAGTGTACTAAGAAACCATTATACTACTACCATTAGCAATCATAAACAGTCAAAATTACGTTTGCATATGACAGAGTAACATATCAACTGCTTACAACTAAAAACATCAAACAACCACCACATCCTCCTGTAGACCCATTCGCATAAAACCTTTTAGCAAAGGATGACAAACTACCAACTAGCTTTGATAATACGAGGCTGCACCAGTCGTATTCCTTACAGCTCATGGCATAAGTCAGCGCAGGAATAAGATTAGATGATAGCCGTGGTGATTGGGTTGGGCAAAGGACCATGTGAAGAGCCAATATGAGGAATAGTGTTTTGAATTCAGCTTCCTCACTCTCGTCCCGATCACCCTCAACTCTTTCCATCATCAGTGAATTCACATGTATACCCTTTACAATGTAGACACGCCCTTCATATTTGGTGGATCTGGTCTCCCATGATTGCCTGTATTGCTTCAATAATCCTTCTACCTTGGCTTTCATCATCGCGTTCATCGTTCTCTTCGTTGGAACAGAATTTCACCAATAGGTATCCCTAACACCCAGTTCACCTGGATCGGTGGGAATCTTAACTCCATCCCATCTGGAGAAGTGAAGATGTTGTTAATCGGATTAACACGACTGAGCAACCAGTACGCAAGCTGCCTGGGCAGATGCATTCCAGAAGCTAGGGTCAACAAACCACCAAAGCCAATCTCCATAACCCACCTCACACGTCTATCATCAAACTTTTAACATATTCTCCCAAAAGACTCAATTCGACATGTCAGGTTAGGTGTCTACAAGACAGAAGAAACCAGCCCAACAACAACAAAATCAGAACTTCCCCTTTTATGCATTACATTTAAAGGACAAAGTTAGATTAATACCTACCTTACAGCTATCAGAATAATGATTTTTCAGTACTTCCCCCTTTTCCTTGACTCCACCGCCAACACTAAGCCAGTTATCCTTCATAAGAAGGATCGCAAAAGCACGGTGCTTTAAATTAACAGGTCTTATAAGAAAGCAACAACATAAACTAACACACTAATACAACTTCCAATTTCCCAACCATAGACAACCCGGGAGAAAGTCGAAAAACCTTCGAATTCCTTTTTGGTCGGCCAACATGCTAGACAATAAGGATGTAATTGATGAACAACAAAACAAAAATAAAATATTCATGACATCAATTTAAATTTCTAATCCATACAATATTACCTGGTTGTCATTCCTTAATCGCTTTTACGGGCGACCCAATGCCTATTGATTGGTAAGAAGTTCAAATTAATAAAATCAATTTATTAAGCCGCCTAACCCTAATTCAATTCAATGCAATTGAGAATAAATCGAACAAATTACCAAATCAAGTTGCACAGGGGGTGACTACTCGCAGCGGAATTCCGAATCCATTAACACTGTGACCAAAGAAAATATTCAAAATATACCGAATTTTCAACCTTTGCACATCCGAATAATATTAACAAACTAAGATACAGCCAAGCCAAACCCTAAAGAGCCGTGAACATAGCAAAGCTGTTTCAATTAATACAATTTCTGGGAACGAACATTTACGTCTATAGATCAACTCATATTAGATTAGCTCTAACAATCTGTATTGAATACCGCACACACAGACTAGAAACAAATCGATGTAAATACAGGATATCAAGTTACTGAAATTGAGTTCATCCAAAATTTGAGTTCATCCAAACGTATAACCAACTACAATCAATTACCTTAGAGAATCGTATCAAACTGGTAGCCGAAAACCATACGGAAGCGGTCACGAATTTCGATTTAGCGGTGGCGAAAACTTCCTTAGAAACAACCACAAGTATAAATTCCACTTCTGATTCACATGAACAAAAGCAGAAGGAGTGAGAATCGTATCAAAATGGTAGCCAAAAACCGTACGGATGCGGTGGCCAAATTCCACGAATTCTAATTTGGCGGTGGCGAAAACTTCCTTAGAAACAACCATAAGTATAAATTCCACGACTTCTGATTCACATGAACAAAAGCAGAAGGAGTGAGAAAATTTACCTCATGGGTAAAGTTACGGGTAACGGACGTTCCATTGGGTCATTAACTCCAAGGGATAACATCGTTGAAAATTTGGGATAACGCCGCTTGGGTAGAGGTTAAACGACGTTTTCGGCCCAAGTTCAATTTAGCCGATAGATGGACGTAAATGCCCTTACTAAACCACGTGAAAAGACAGCGCTACACCTTGATAAACAAAAATCAACTTGTATTTTCTCTTACTTATATATTCTACGTACCTCATATCACCCTTTCAAGTCTTTGGTAAATTATAAAAAATATAATATATTTATATTCTCATCACATATAATATTTGCTTTTATTGATATATTTAGGGGCGGAAAATTAAGCATGAAATAATTAGTTGACTAATATTCTTAATTATATTCTTAGGTATATATAAGTCATAATCTACAATTTTTTATTTTCTGAAAGAAGTCATGATCTACATTTAATATACAATCAATAATAACTTTTACTAAACTATAATATAAACTTGACTAAAACAAATAGGATATAAGTTTCTTTAGATTATAAATATTGTTCAATAATATGATATGTCTTAGATCCTTTCCTAAATCTTTAGGAGTATGAAATATATATTTATATTATCTCATTGCATATAACCTTGAGTTTGTTGATATATTTAGGGGTGGAGAATTAAACGGGAAAATTTGAACTTGTCTTAAAAAAACAACATTTTTAAAGGCTTTCATTGGTTCAAGTTGGAAAGTTGAAAATCAACTCAAGAAAGATTAGGTTTTGGATTTTAGGCCCTTTATACAATATGACAAATCTGAAGTTTATGACTAAGGTGATTCTTGTTTGCATTTTTAAAAAATCAAATGAATATGAACTTATGAAGAAGTGTACAGATGAAACATATTATATAATCAAGTACATGAAAATGTGATGCCTAGCAATTTAATATTCACTCTTCATTGGATATGTTCTGATAGCAATTGAAGTTTCTGGTTTTTGAACAGGCTATTTTAATTACTTTAGCTAAGAATTTCAAAGAGCTCTGTACTATCGCCATATAAATCTAATAAATGGAAGAAGCAGATGAGTAGAATTAGAAAGAAAAGTAAATGCCAACCAGTTGAAACAGAGAAGAGCAAAATTCAGGAGCAATGCTACATAAAGGGCATAGTTGAATAAAATTATGAACAGGAGTAAAGTGAAGTGGTCATAAATCTATGCATACCTCTTAGACGGTTGCAGACATTATAATAAGCTCAGGTCAGGCTTTAGAGGAAGTAACATTTTTAGGCATTGAACAGAGCAGATCAGATCAGATTTTAATGTTTCTTCATGAGCTTCATCCACAAGAATGCTGGAAATCAATGCAGCGTCTTGTTATTCATACAGTGCTGCAATAAACAGCGGTCTGCCATGTATATTAGCTTGGAATATAATTGCTGAAGAGATGAATAGGACTGATAAGAGTTTATAGCATTATCTTCATAGCAACCATAAGGCCATAACTCTCTTCTTAAACTCTGCATTCCAGTGAAGTCGTCGCAATCTTTCTTGGTTAAGTGCTTATCATAGAGTAAAGATCCTTCAGAAACTACTCCTGAATCAGCAAGAAACTGTATCAATTGAGTACTCTTTCCCAATCCGATTTCCCCAATCAATACCATAATCTGCAAAATCAGAAAAAGAAAACATACACATAAATCCAGCAGAAATATGGTAGTGGGATACTGAGGCCGCCAGCATGATGGCTGAGTGGTTTATCTGATGACCAAAACGGTTCGAGCACGGTCAGTCACGGATAAAATATTTAGCACTGTCCAGTGCGAATCCATAAGCCATGGGCATATGTTTGCGACAGTAGCTAGGTTCAAGGCATGAAGCATGGAGTTGGCACAAAATTAGCCAAAGGACCTACATTATAAGAAATTAAATTACACATCACTACCTCTGTTTCTAGGTGTTCTTAACTCTTACCCGTTTTTATCAGTTTTGAAATATTATTAAAGTTTCACTTAATCCCATTATTGTCAAACCTCTTTTACTACCTTATCCTCTTTCCCCTCTAACCCACCATATGTAATTATGTACACCTTTTCACTCATATTCTCTTACTTTCCGTTTTCGTCCATTTTAGATAAAAAGAAGCTTGACACTTGGACATATATATACTCATGCGAGTCATGCTTAATACATGTGACAAACTTCGACACAAGATAAATAAGCGGTATCTAATAACTAAAGGTAAGCATCCCAAATAGCGCAGAGGAAACATATGCATGATAACAATGAAAAGCTTTAAGCATTTAGCTCCACAAATTACATTGTTAAAAGAAGAATCCATACTAGGTGAAACATAATAAGTAACTCAAAAATAAAAGCTTTAATCTTTTTGCTAAAGATTTATGCTAAACCAACATTTTTTATAAAGTTAATTTTTTTTTAAATACAAATTAATGTGTTATCCCTCCAACCCAAATTACTTAAAGAGATAAACACAAATTTCAGACCAGATAAATAAAAATACTAAAATATACTTCGTATATAATTTAAAACAATATCCTAAGAAAAATCTAACAACGTCACATAAATTGTTAAAATTAGGTTAATGCTCGTGCGATGCACGGGTTACCAAAAAATATTGCATAAAGTTGTATATTATGAAAATAGTTTTCGTAGTAACTTACTAAATAAGATGAGATGAGATGAATAGAGGTGAGATAGTTTAGCTCGATAGTCAAAGCGATCTTTTGGGAAAAAAAAATAGTAAAATCAGTTTATTTTTCCAACCCCAATTCAAATTACATCTCATTAAATAAAAAAGCATAATTTGCAAAAAAAAAATAAAAAAATAAAAAATAAAAAAATAAAATAAAATAAATTTAGATTAGGAGGGAAATTTTTTATAATGAATCTATCATACGTGGACAATAGTGATGTCAACGTGACATGTTTAAATTTAACTCAAATAAGTGTACTGAAAATTTTATTTATTTATTTATTTATTTTTTTTTTTGTGATTGGCTGAGATATAAATATTTTTGTAATAACTAATTTTTCAACAATTTAATGTACTATTGTCATATTATTACATTTGATTGAGATAATACTTGTTCTAGAATTAGACATGTGATATAAGTTGTTTAAAGACTATTTATTTTACAATTATATATGATGTATAGTAAATTCTTAGTGACAAAATTGCCAAATTTATACTCCCTCCGTTTTTTTAAGTGCATCGGTTTTACCAACACTAAATTTTAGGATGGTAAATTGAATAAAGTAAAATTTTGTGTAGGTGAAATTCGTTCGGAGATAAAAAAAAATTTTAATTGAAAATTAGTTGGGCGATGGTTATTAAAAAAACTAAGGATGTGAGAGGAGCAAAATAATAATAATAATATTAATAATAATAATAATAATAATAATAATAATAATAATAATAAAGTGTGGGAACCACGTGAAGATGGAGATATAATTAAAAATATGTATTAAAAAAAGATGATGTCCAAAAAAAAAAAGGAAGAAATGCATTTACATAAAATTGCCGCTTTAGAAAATGATGCACAAATATTTTAGTTGATTGTATGTAGAACAAATAAGATGACCAAATAGGAAATCATATTATACAAATATTCTTTTAAATGATTTTGGCAAGAATAGTCATGAAGTATAAAATATTAGAATAATATTTTAGTTGACTTTGTATGTATAGAAGAAATAAAAATAGAAAATTCATATTATCTAAATATTCTCTAAAATGATTTTGGAAAGAAAATAGGATATAGATGGATGGTGGTTTTGGAGGAAAAAAAACAGCATCAGGAAGTGACACGTGTCATTCCTGGTGTCTGTTTTAGTATTATGTTATTGATTGATGGGGAATAATAGGGTACATTAAGATGCAATTCCATAAATATCCTTCATAAATTACTCACTCATTCTAATAAAAAATCTAACAGGCTCATATATATTGTTGAAATGGAAATAATAGGTTACATTAAAATGCATCCATGAATATCTTACATGATTACTCCATATTTTTTTTTTGGTATTTAGAGAGCCACAAGGGCGGGGGTGAGAATCGAACCCAGGATCTCCTGGAATCGAGAGGGAAGCTCTAACCACTTGAGCTATCCCTCACTCTCTCCTTCATATTTTATGTATATAAGGTTTTAGAATGGTGAGTTGAATGGAGTAAAAGGTGTAAAAATCACAAGTTTGCAACATAAAAAATAGAGGAATAATGATAATTCGTGTTTTGTGCATATTTGTTAGCTTATTTTTGGTTGGTTTTATTAGCTTAGTCGAGTGTTTTAGTCCATTTTGGTGTATTTTGGTTTAGTTTCGATGATTCGATGCTTTGAGGGGTAGTTTCGTTGTTTTTGATGAATTTCAGGTGATTTATATGCAAATGGAGTATGGTTGGCTAATCTTGAGTATAATAATCATGGAGTATGAAAACATATTGCTTAAGAATATCAAAACATGTGTTCAGGACGAACTTGAGTGAAAATGAAGCAAAACGTTGATGAAATACTTGACAAATATGACACCTGTTCACTATTATGCTCATAACTTTTGATATACAAATGATAATGGAGTGATTCAAATTGTATTGGAAAGTAGACTTGAAGACCTTTCCAACAATATATTACACGCCTCAAACAGAGCTCCGGATATGAAGTTATGACTGATTTAAGATGAGTGATACGCGCAGCAGGGGAGGCACGGCCGTGCCTGGAAGTCAGAAGCCAAGGAAGATATGCTCGCAAAGAGGCACGTTCGTGCCTAGCAAGGGGCACGTCCGTGCCTCCTGGGAAGATTGTGCGCCAAGAAACTTTGTTATCTTCTTATCTTTCTAGGGCTATATATATATTAAGGAGTGTTTTATTTCTTGATTAAGTTTTATTCTAGCCTTTTATTTTACGTTATTAAGAACTAGTTCTCTCTATTTTTATTTTCTTTACTTTTGTAATTCAAGATTCAAGATTTACACTTTCCGCTTTCAATTC